CTCCCCCCCCCCCCCCCCCCCCCCCCCCCCCCCAAATGTAATTTATCTGCACCCTGCCAGGAGCAGGGCTGGTGCTGCAGGCAGGAGCCACAACCAAGAGTGAACATCAGGGATGGGGGCAGGGCCAGGGCTGGCAGCTGCTATAGTCAGGGGCTAAGATCAGGGCAAGGCTCCAGCTGAGGCCAGGTCCTCAGCTGGGAGTTGGGTGGGGCTGGAGTGGAGTGGGGCTGCATGGCACTCCTCTGCCTCGTGTGGGAGCAGTCTAGACCAGGAGGGGCAATAATTTTTGATGGGGTGGGGTCTCTCCAAGAATTTGGAAAGTGGTCGAGGGCTGCGTTCTTCCAGGATATTAATGGAGAAGGTGCAGGGTTTGAGATGGAGGTTGGGTGCAGAAGGGAGTTTGGGGTAAGGAGGCGGACACTGGACTGGGGTGTAGGGGGTTGGATTGTGACCTAGGGCATGGAATTGGGATAGAGCAGGGAGTGCGGGGATTTGGCTTGTGAGCGCTAGGGCAGGAGGGGACTGTGATCTGGGATAGGAGATTGGGAAGCCAGATCTGGGAGGAGATATGATTACAGGAGGGGAGGATTTGAGTATGTGGATTGGGGGGCAGAGGGTTGGGGAAGGGAAAGACTGGGGTGCCAGAGGTAGGATCTGCCAGGAGACTTACCAGCCAGTGCCATTTCTGAATCTGTCTCCCTGCCTGCCCCCCCTCTCCTCCCACTCCAGGCTACAGCCATGCGCTCTGGTGGCTGCCTGCCATTGAAACAGGCAGCTCCCATTGGCCAGTTTCTGGCCTAAAGCTTTCCCCTCCTAAACCTTTCCCCCTCCCCTCCGGACTCACAGTTTTTAAAAAAAAGCCTCCCTGTAGCTGCGGCATGCGGCTGGGGCAAGGTAGCGGGGAGCCTGCCTGGAGCTCCCCGCAGCAGCTGCGGGCTGGATCCGGTGGCCTGGCAGGCCAGATCTGTCCTGTGGCCCATATTTTGCCCCGGCCTGGTTTAGACCCTGTCATGCCCCCCTCAATTTTCCTTAGTGGAGTACACCCTGCAGTTTGGGGACCACTGATTTTGGTGGCAAGGTCCTTGGGCTGAGGAATGTTTGTTCATCTTGTGTAGAGCATCTAGCACAATGTGGTCCTGGTCCATGACTGCATCCTTTAAGGTCTACCTCGGTACAAATACAATAGCAACTAATTTCTGTTAAAAGTACAAGTACTAATTCTTGGCTATAGAGCTGATAAACTGTGAAACCAAATGTTCTCTTTATGCCTTCCCTTTGGCAAATACATTTTCATAGAAGATTGAAAATGCCATGTCTCTCATATATTATGTATATGAGGGTATGTCTACACTAGTCCCCAGTTCGAACTAGGGAGGCTAATATAGGCATTCGAACTTGCAAATGAAGCCCGGGATTTAAATATCCCAGGCTTTATTTGCATGTTCCTGTCCGGGCACCATTTTTAAATCCCCCTAGTCCAAACTAACTGCCCGCGGCTACATGCGGCAGTCAAACGTTAACTCGAACTAAATCCTTAGTTCGAGTTAACTGTTACGCCTCGTGGAATGAGGTGTAACAGGTCATTCGAACTAAGGACTTAGTTCGAATTACCGTTTAACTGCTGCGAGTAGCCGCGGGCAGGTAGTCCGATGCAAATAAAGCCTGGGATATTTAAATCCCGGGCTTCATTTGCAAGTTTGAATGCCTATATTAGCCTCCCTAGTTCGAACTAGAGGGCTAGTGTAGACATACCCTTAGTCCTTTTGATGCCTAAGATGTGGCATAGATGTGGCATGTTCTTCTTGTGGTAGCAAAGTGTTCAGTACTGAAGGGGTTAATCGAGCTTTCTACTTGTTTACTGGCAAAAAGCCTTGGAAATTGCTCTCTGCTCAGCAAAGAAAAATATTTGCACTTTTGATGGACAAATCCTTCATTCTAGTACCCAAAGGACTGACTTCCAGACAAGGAAAGAAAAGGCTTGCCAAATTCACTCCAGTTGACTGGGATAGTGCCCTGGACCTAAAATATTTTTGCCTGGTCATTGTTTGCTGGGTTTTTTTTTTAAACTTGTTGACTAGCTTAAAATTGGCAAGGATAGAATCACATGACCTTGTGAACTATACTATAGGGCCTGCAGCATATTTCAGCCTAAACGACATGAAGTAGGGCTGTTTTAAAATTAGTTAGTGTTTTTTACTATAACCCCCCACTTTTATCAGTGCAATTTGATTAACACAAAGTGGCAGTTTAGATTGTAAGCACTTTAGAGTTGGGATTGTTGCCCTTGTTCTGTGCCTGTGCAACACCTATCACCATGGGTGGCAGGTATCATAGACCAGGGGAGGCAAAGTCAACCCCTAACCCAGGCCTGTGGCCCTGCCTATGCTCTACCCTGAGGTCCAGCCCTTATTCTGCCTCTCCCCTGAAGCTGGGAGGGGCTCTGCTCTAGCCAGTGGCTGGGGGCAGCTCAGGGCTACCAGTTGCCTAGTGCTTGAGCCTACCAGCAGGAGAGGCGAGCAGGAGCTCTTCTGGCTTCAAGGGGAAGCTCAGGGCTCACCAGACAGTCTGAGCCCTGAACTTCCCCTTTTGGGCCCTCTGTTTAGTAAAAAAATCCAGCAAGTACCGGACATGTGCAATGTCCGGTATTTCCTGGATTTCTGGCTGGGCACCAGATGGAAGCCTGGCGGGGGTTGGGGGAGTGGCTGGGAGGAGGCGAGCAGGAGCTCTTCTGGCTTCAAGGGGAAGCTCAGGGCTCACCAGACAGTCTGAGCCCTGAACTTCCCCTTTTGGGCCCTCTGTTTAGTAAAAAAATCCAGCAAGTACCGGACATGTGCAATGTCCGGTATTTCCTGGATTTCTGGCTGGGCACCAGATGGAAGCCTGGCGGGGGTTGGGGGAGTGGCTGGGAGGCGGGGCGTGATCGGCGCTGGGAGCCCTGGCTGCGTCTGACACCTTGGGGAGGAGGAGAAGCCCTGTCCCCGCTCCTCAGTGCGTGGTGGAGCCGCAGCCCGGCTC